CATTAATTCGTTGTCTCCTTGGCCTATGCGTAAGGATTTTTTACCCGCTGAGTATATCACCTCGTTGCGTTCCATCCAGGGCTTACCCAAAATAATGGGGTACGCCAAGTTGGGCATCACATAACCCCACATCTGTTCCTGTCGCTCATCGATAACCACTTTGTAACACGCAATACTGGTGATTTTTGTTGCCTTAGTCTCATCGGCTAACCGCAAGGTCCTTGGAGAGATTTGTTCGACGAACATATTTTCTCTGCGCACGAGGACTTCATCAACCACTGAAAGACACAAGGATCCAGTATCAATCATAGCTTGCACGAAAAATGAGGAATTTTTTAAGCAGTCAATTAGTAGCGGCCGCGAGAATTGTTCTTTCGAATACTTCCACTTCATTAAAAAATTTCCGTCCTTTTCCCTGAGAGAGACCTTTCTGAGGGGTTTCTGTTCTCCGGAAATTTTCTCTTCCCTCTGTCCTTCTATTGCTGCAGCTGCATTCAGCCCCGACCTTGGAGCCTGAGCTCTCCGAGACTTTGGACAAAATTTCGCCCTATGTCCTTCTTGAGTACACCGGAGAAACACCGCTTCCCCTATAAGTCGGCGTGACTCTTCCCGTGATCGCCTTGGGGACCTCGATAGTTGCCTCTCCTCATCGGTTCCTTGTATTCCCTGTGCGAATCTCCTGCTAGGCTTGTTCCCCGCTCCTACACGAGCTATCTCCTCTTCTTCATCCTTTATCGAACCTCCAAAACCTGTAAGGGTTGCGTTTGTACCGTCCGTATAGACTCCTCCTTCAACATTTACTGACGGTCGATTGTGAAATATTTGTCCCCGACCACCCTTTGACGCAGCTAGTCTTGTTGCTATCTGTGTTGCTATCTGTGTTGCTACATCTGGTCGGTAATTTTCCAGCCCTTCTAGCTCTAATGCCACCTCTTTTACTCTCTCTACCCAGTCGTTATATCTTTCTGGCGGAGGAAGCTTCACTCCATCTAAGGCCGTCCTCAGCTTGTTGTTGAGGGCTGCTTTTAAGTTCATGGTCCTGCCTAGCTGAGTAAAGGCCTCATCCCCTCCACTCTGGGCGATTTGGTACTCAAAGTCGAGCAGAAAGTCAGCGAGGGACTGAGATTCACCTTGTCCCATTTTATTAATATATTCCAATGCCACTTTCCGAGCCTTTTTGTCCGCAAAGGTTTCCTTCAGGTGCAAAATCAACTCCTTCCAGCCGAATCGTCCATCAGCTTTCCTCTTATCAAACCACTCTGCAACTCTTGGCTTGGCGGTATCTGGTAGAGTCTCAATCATGTCCAGACAAATTATTCGATCGTCCAGGTAAGGGGCCCAGTCAGCTTCAATTCGTGTTTCCAACCTGCCAATGAAGAACCCGAAATCTAGTGGCGCGCCATTCCATTTTGGCAGGACTGCGTCTCTTCTCCTTGGTCTCGTTGCCCCTCCCGACCTTAGCTCGGTTTCTTGTGTCTTCATTTCCCTGAATAATTGACCCAGATCCAGTAAATCTTGACTTGATAGTCCCGCTAGTGGATTTTCTGCGAATCTCTCGCGTGCAGCCTGACAGCTTGCCTCGACCTGAATATTTCCGTCCATGATTGGTACCTCAGGTGCTACGTTCAAGCCGTGTGAAAATCTGTGAAAAGACGAAAATAAAGTATGTGATTCCGATTCTTTTATTTTCGGGATCTAGATGGTCATTTACCTTTCTGGCGAGTCAATGGTAGGGGTATGGGAGAGAAGGAACAAGTTATATGTAAGGGTTTAATGAATTCAGATGTACTTGAAAGACAATAACTCAATAGGAATCAATAACTTGTTCCTTTGGAAGACCATCTACCACGTACTCTCCCATACGTTATATACTCTGTGTAGAATAGTCTTAACTCCCTCCATTGGCCACTTGAGAATCATCATTTCTCCCGGCACAACCCTTCTCCTGTATCATACTCCCCATCTGGTGCGTACCCCCTTAGCGCCCCTTTCGTATATCCAGGAGCGTTACTCTGCCACTACCTTACCTCGGAGACGGAGTGGTACTAGTGACCAGTCCCAATCCGGGCAAAGCCCGTCACAGGAAGCATTACTTAAATATTTGGATATATCCAAGTGCATGGCAGCACACAAAGGGAATTATATTAGGATAAGTGATTGGGATACAGTTTATTGGGCTTAGAGGGAAAACGGATGAATTTGAGGGGAAAGTTTAAATTTAGAATATTTGAAATGTGTCACAGCTAGATAGCTGAATACACTATGAATTAAAAAAAAAAAAAAAAGTCCAGTGCCTCTTATTTCCTAATATTTATTCTTGCAACAGATTTTAATTGCATATGCAACTAGCTAGCTGTGACACAATATCAGAGAAAAATTACACAACTGATGTAATAATTTAAAGATTGTCGGTAAAAGGATTATACTTGGGCGTTATGAATTGTTCTATGTAATTGCGGTGTTAAGGATGTCGTTAGGACTTTGGCAGGGATCTGATCTAGCTCATTAGCGAGGCGCTTGGAGTAGAGGAAGAAAGGGCAGAGGGAGAGGAAAAGGAGAGACAACGTTTTATATATATCGAGATACCAGTTAATTGACATTATTCACCGACTTCGTGACGGACAGCTGACTTCGTGACGGCACCCAATTTGTATTACTTCGTGTTTTACCAACAAAGATAAAGTACTTATGTCTCAGATTTCATTTGCAACTACCACTGCAGAGTGATGATGGCTTTTTCTTCGCCCCAAGTCAACCTTCATCCGTGGATACCCACCCAGAGAAACGTCTCAAAAACCCTGGCATATCCAGACATGCCTACGTTATCCATACACTTTTCTCCGCGCGAAACGTGGTCTGAGATGTCTCTTTCCCAAGTAGAGTAGGTGCCGAGTGTTGTGCTCAGCTATGTAGTATGGCGTTATGGCGCATGAAGGAGATCCAGTCTCTACATAACGACATTACATGTAGTAATGTGTACCGTACGAGAGATGGGTTGTTGATATAGGACAAATGGCATGGCTGCTCAGTTGGTTGCACACTTTGATGCGCTGCATACTGGTTACGTGATCGGCCTACAGGCTAACAAGCTAGGGGATAAGGGACGAGCTTCCCCCAGTTGTAACATAACAATTATCATAGTAACTTTACTTCTGCACATTAATGAAGATATCTCTTCACAAACAATCTTAGCTGTTCCAGCGCAAGTGTACTTTCCCAAATCATACACCAATCATAATAAAATTGCGGCTTCCAGCACTACTTTCTCTCTGTCTTTTCTCCTACCTACGTATTGTAGTCTAATGTCCAAATACAACTTCTTAGAGATCCGTATTATCCTCAGATCAGTCGTAGAAGGTTTGACAGGCACATGATACTAGTGGGAATTTCTCCCTTAGATCTATATAAATATATGTCCAATGTTCTCATAGTTGTAAAATATCAAGTCTCATTTACTTCATCTTGCACATCCATATAATATCGGACCGAATTTATTTTCGAACACAAACCACATTAGTAATAGAGATTTGTAGAAGTATAGAAACAAGTTCTGTCTAACTCAGTATGAAGTGAGTAACTCAATTAGAATGAGAAATACTGGCTTAGTAGGGGGACTATTCTCAACACCTGTCAGCGGTGTCCCCTACGAACCTCCAGCTCTCACTGTAGAGTCTGCAGAGCCGAGATTGAGTAACAAAGTCCTCACTTCGAAGAGGATTCCCAATCGCTTTCGCGGTCTGTATTGTCTTCATCTCTCAACACATTCCCCTATCACCATTATCATGAAGCTAACCACGATCAGATCAGATGGTAGGGTCGGAGCTCTACTCATCACCAAACCTTGATCACGGAGGAAAAGCCATCCGATGAGTTTCCGGAGCGTACCCAGCACCCGATACGGAGATGGTGGATTGGATCAAGTCGGCCTCGACTGTTACAAAGAAGGGAGATATAGATGAATATGCGCACCTCATGTGGTCCCGGTGTCTAGGCCTCGCCTGGCTGGGGCTGCAGGTTTTTTGAGACTTTTTCCCGCGCACGCAGTTTCCATTGCTACCATTTTTATTTTTTTTGGGTAGAAGGTTCCGTGGAAAAGGTGGCCGAATTCCACGAGTAAATACTGAGCTGAATGGCTATTCATCAAATGGAATATATCAATGATCTACCAAGTAACAAAAGAGGATAGGAGCACTGTACAAGGTGTGGCCTGGGTCAGAGAGGAGCCCAATGTGCTAGATAGTCATAGACTCAAGTAGCACAATAAACACAAACACACACACATACTGGCTTAGTAATAACAAAGTGAGAGAACTCGTTGTTATTTACACACTGAGGTGTACAACTATGGTTCCAGAATAATACAATTTTGCCGCTTTCTTATCGATCTATCAACTCCGGCCCCATACCCTGTAAAGTGATGTCTCGCTGGAGTCTAACAACTGTTATCGCACTTCCTACATAACTTTGTAATTTTTACATGGTTTAGCAATAATCAATCGATAGTGGCATCTGCGTATGAAATCCACAGTTTGAGTATCGAAGGATTCATAAATCATGTCACATTTATACAAGCACTGGTCAAATATTATAGCTATAGACTTGAATACTGTGAACAGATGCACATCCCACAATAACCAACCCTACTTGCACGCTTGTGTGTACATGAGGAGAAAGGAGCTAAAGGCATGGGCCTGAGAGCTGTACAGACAATCTAGCTGATCTAAGCGGGTATATCCAAAGAAGGCGCTCTATCTTATGGCATATAGGTAGATAATCCAACCTATCTAATCACAATAAAAAATTAAGCCAAGAACACAAACTAGTATACATGGAATGATTACAGAATATTCCCATAAATATTTCCAAGTCCCGATTTCGAGCGCACAGATGTTACTTTCATTGTTAGCATGGAGCCCAAATTTTGCTTGCGTCGTACTAGATTTTATCGCAATAAATCTGATCCACAAGGCCTCGGTACCTTGTCATGGCATAGTTTTATCTCATATATATTTTGTATCGCAGACAAAAGTCGAATATTTTATGTTGCCAATTTCAGCCATTTGTTTTTTTTTCATCTGATTTATTGTGGGATCGCAGGTAGCCATCCGACGACAAAAATCCAGAATTTTATTTTTTAATTGCGATGTTCGAATAATTGCATCTAATTGGTCGAGAATTTCTGTATCATTGCGGATAAAATTTAAGATGATCTCAACGTTATGATCCTCCGAACCAATTTGCGTCACTGGGAACCATATTGAGTTTCTAGAATCTTTTTTAAAAACATGGAGATGGCCAAAGTATAGGACAAGTATTTTTCCGTGATTTTTCACTATTCCATTGGCATGATGGCTTTTCAAGAAATCTTCAAATTGAACATGTTGGTCCATGAATACCTTCAGCTGTGCCTTACTGTTTCGTGGAGCTAAGTAGCCATATGCTCCTGATACTGATATTTGACCTCTGTAAGCCAAGTTGATGAGATCACTATTCGAACATCGTTTAGAATGGTTTAGAGTTTCTGCTGACAACGGTGATTGACCTTGTTGATGATTGGGTTCCGCGTTATGAATATCCGTCGATTTTTTTATGAGGGCCAAGCAAGTTTCATAATTCGGATAAGCGGGTACAGGGTTATGATAATATGCGGTTTCGGTGGATATGACACCTCCGAGTAGTTCTGCAATTTTTACGGACGACATGGTGTGTGAACAATACGCCTTTAAATTCGTACCATTTCTAACTACTTTTTTGATCGTCGTAGCTAAATTATATTTTGTATCGGGTACGGGAAATTTGCCCGGGGAGGGATTATCATAAGCATCATAATACGACCTACCGCCATCGCTGCCTAGTATGACTATACGCTCTAGGTGAGAGGGATAACCAGTTGAATCTTTTTCCAGTGGCTTATTTGGATTTAGAAATCGTGATATGAGAACAAAAGCGCAGGATATCATGGTTGGGTTGGTTTGAAGACGGCCACGTTTTGACAAAGAGCTTTGTAAAGTTGTTTACTAAATTTTCGCTATCCAAGATGATGCTAGCCTCTCAATAATTTATCCTGTGCGGAATCAGGCTTCGAGAGATATTCTTCAATTCGTGAGCGACTGTAGAAGAAGAACAAAATTGTCTAGACGAGTATCATTACTCTAATGATGTGTGACCGTCGTTGCCACGGGTGGGTATTCACGGATGAGGGTTGACTTGGGGTGAAGAAAAAGCCACTATGACTTCGCAGTAATACTTGCTAATGAAATCTGAGGCATGAGTGCTCTATTTTTAAATTGAGTCATCTATTATACACTTCTCTAATATTGAGTCATAGCTAGATAGCTGCATACGCAATTAAAATCTGATGCAAAAAAAAGGATGCGTTACCCTGCTCGTATGGCATTTAGACAAGATTTTAGTGTGATATTATTTTCATTAAATTTGTACGGGCCAGTCACATTAGACCTAGTTATTTATTGGAGCAAGGATGGTGTAAAATTAGGTTTTGAGTGAGAGTTTGCAGGAAGCCTTGAGCGACTACGCTTCTATTTCAGATCAGCTAGCGGATTCATGTTTGAAGTTGAAAAGTTTGTAAAGTATGGTGGATGAATGAATATTTCTTCGTGACTGGCACAAGCCTAGTACTCATAGAGCATAACATGGAGAAGGTGAGTACCTCACCGGCAACTATATGCAACAATGACTCAGTTGGACATTTGGACTACTCATGTAGTGGGTGCATTCGCTGATACCTCTCGAGACCTTTGTGCTGGGAACTCTCAGCCTTCCCTCAACCATTAATATCCGTCAAATGGAAAACAAGAAAGCCCATTGGCTACCCTAACATGCATTAACCATCTTGTATACAGCTGTTGAAATATGATATATCTTGGAATTTCAAGAACAACTTATTTGTAAGTCTGGCTAATTAGAATATCAAATTCCCCATCCTATATCATTATCATCAATACATCCCTCACTAAAAGTTTAATGCGCATTAGCATTTATTTCACACTAGCATTCCAGCGGATCACTATGTCTCAAACGCAGGCTATAGGATTCCTCGGACCTATTACCGACATAAATGTATGAACCTTTATATTTCTGGCTTATATATCTGTATGTATATAGATCAACATCTACAGGGATCATAACTTATGATCCATAGAGATTCATAAATACTAGTCAAAAACCACAGCTAATAGAAATGCGCACACGCAATCTCACTCCCATCATCTAAGTATACTCAGAACCATACATCTCTGTACAATTATTTTCACACCCATCTTCCTTCAACAATCTTACATAAGCCTTAATGTACCGGTCTAACCGCTGACATTGATTCCGCTTTTACCTCCATCTTCGCTCAAGCTCATATCTTCAATAATAGCCACCGCGCGAAAAATGACTTCGCAGCCCCTTTCTCAAATGAGGTAGGTGTCTATGCTATCCAGACTTCGATTCTGGGAGACGACGACCAGGAGGTGGACCGCAACACCTTCCATCGTTGCCTATTTTTAAAGTGTCGGTAGCACTATCCGAAATCGTAGCCTAGACGCCCACGAGTACCCCAAAGTCGAAAACAGTCGAAAATTGTGAGTCCCAGTATAGCTATTTGTGACTTCTTGACTCGTTCGTCCAAAGTCTTACATCTCACGTCCGATATCCCAGTTGCACATTCTCCCTCATCATGTGAAGCCTTATTAGAACAACGGTCCCCCACAGACCAAAACCCGAGCTTTGTAGATTATGACTTAATTTTCTCCTTGCGGGTATACTTAGAATCGTGAATGTGTAGTGGGAGATGGCCGGTTTTTAATGAGGCAAATGCCCGATTGCAATTGGAGTAGCGCCATTATCGGTATTTGAGGCGAGGTAGTGTAGTAAGATTGAAGTGGAGGACTCGCGTTGGAATAATAGGTCCGACATCGACGAGAATTCTTCGATTCTAGATGTGCTATAAGTTACTTTCGACTTTGATTTCGTTGTGATTCTTCTTGACTATCCCAGATATGCAGAGCATACTGAGCGATTACATCGGCACCACTGGATGGTCAAGAATCCGTCCTTGTCGGCCAGGGAAGAAATTATGGTGGAGATGGATGGATCATTACTTTAACGTGCCAGGTAAAAGCCCTGTATCTAATCTGACATGACACGGATAGTTGATCCCGAAAAACTCAATACTACCAAGGTGATCAATTCGAAGGAACCAAGAAAAGATATAAACATAATTTCTAAGTCTAGTACCCCGCACCTTGCCTGAATTCCCCAAATTTATCCACCCATAGATCACTTTATGCGGCAGTACCCTGACTTACGCATTGGTTAGGCGCAGGATGTCGATTCAGGGCAGCAAAAATGCTCTTTGATGTTTTTGATTTCAATCATATCAATTACCGGTCAAATAAAGCCAGCATTATTGGTGACAGTGAGACCTCCAGGAGTACGCACCAGTGTCGAGCCTCCTGGGTGTAGGGCTGTAGCTCGATACGTTAAATAAATCAAATCAGCCCCGACTAACGCCAACCGTTGTCATAATGAGCGAAGTTATTTTCTCACACTTCTACATTCGTATGAGACTCCGATAGATTGTGATACCGGTGTAATGATATTTAAGTCGAAGACTGACTGCAGGAAAAGAAACACTGTATTTTTTTTTTGTTAATGTCACGGTTTGACCGTTGTATGAGCTTAGGTGAATACCTAAGCGTAATACTTAGATTGTTTACAATAAGATTGCACGGGAAGGGAAAGATGGAACCAGACGAAACGATAATACTAATCAGGACGCTAGATCGCTGTTACAACTAAGTAACACCCAACGATACGTGGCTAGTTAGCGAGTATGATGTCTGGAGGAAAGCCATCAGTTAGTAGATACACGCAGCGGATCAGTCATTATAAGTACCCGTTAGTTGTAGCTAGAATTCTCTTCTCTCCTCATATAGTTTAATAAACCGATTTATCCACAACCAACTCGGTTTCTATCACAGTTAATTAACGTGCTAGGTTAAGTGACTACCGTTGCACTCCTACTAGAGCTTAAGCACGAGTGGGGCCGGTCCGGATCAGGTTGACTACCGCGAAGTATAGATGTACCTAGTCCCACTTAAATGGCCGGACCAGCTCAGACTTCTGTTTTTTTGCATCAGATTTTAATTGCGTATGCAGCTATCTAGCTATGACACAATATCAGAGAAAAGTACAGAAAATATGACTCAATTTACAAGAGGAGCACTCATGCCTCGGATTTCATTTGCAAGTACCACTGCGAAGTTATGGCGGCTTTTTCTTCACCCCAAGTCAACCCTCATCCGTGAATACCCACCCGGGGGAACGTCTCAAAAACCCTGAGTTATCCAGACATGCCTCCATCAACCTTTTACTTTTCTCCGCGCGAAAGTGATCTGAGATGTCTCATTCTCAAGTGAATTAGGTGCCCAGGCTACTCAGACTATACCGGAGAACAACAACTTCCATTGTTGAATTGTTTTTATAGTGTCAGCTGCACTCTCGCATTCGAAGTATCGGCACGCACAATACTCTTCAACATGTAAATCTCATTGCCAAAATTCGAAATCTCACGCCAATCGAGATTAAATCCTTCCTTTGAATCATCTTATCAACTTGTCCTGATCCCTCTCACATCTATCCCAAAGAACTGTCTCCCAGATTTGTGCTCCACGCTTTGCTTCCTCCGTCGGGTATAAATATCGGCGTGGGCGTGTATTTGGTGACCAGCTGAGGCCAGAGAAGGTCGACGAGAGGTGTGATCATTGGAATAAGGATGTACTAGGTCATACTTGTAGACTCGATGAGGCTTAGATAGGAATCGGGCTCTTTGAGAGTGAAAGATTGACATGGTGGAGTAATTTGAATTTTTGCCTCGTGGGCCAACTTCTTTGATATTGCGAAATTTGACTGAACTTGACTCTGGGAGAATATTTCACTCCCAGGTTCATAGAGGACACCGCGTACAGGTGTTCAGTCTTTGCCCTCCCAGCTTAGACTTTACCCATGTGTTGAATCATGTCAAGCCCAACCGTCCAGAGAACCCTCTTTTGACGCGCCGAAGCGCAAATTCCTCTTCGGACTCGGCCACCACGCGCTCGAGCTCTTGACATCCTCATTGAATTCAAAACACAAATGCCGTCCAAGATTTCATTGATGCTCTAGCCTTGTACCTTCATATCGTACCGTTGGGTTGTTATCGTCATCGGGGTTTTGTATAATTCCTTCGGTGTATATTCCCTTTTCTTCCTCCTTTGTACACGTCCCATCTTCATAATGAATTTCCTCATTAGGGCATTTGTACGTGGGTGATGTGGCGAGTATAGAGGTGGGTCGCAGGTATAGAATCGACTGAGAAATGCTTCGTCGCAAATAGATTAGAAGGTTAAGAAATGTTATTTGTTTGGATACGACTCCCAGATAGACCTAGGCCCATTCGTGAATCGTAGGTTAGTGGTGATAAGTTTTTGTTCAACTTTGGTTCGGCTATGAAATCTCTGCCGACTGATTTTTCGACCAAAATATCGAGTGCAACTCCTTCTAGTCGAAAATTCATTAAATAAGATTCATCCCACCCTTTTTCGTGACTGAATCTCGGCTCAGGGAGAATATTTCACTCCCAGGTTCATAGAGGGCACCACTGACAGGCGTTCAGCCTTCGTCTTCCAGAAACTTTTGTATTTAGATAGTTATGTATGTAAAAAGGTCTTACTTCTACTAAGTCTACTGAGCGGCAGAGATATACTAAAGTCCATGCATAATGAGTATCAAGTGGTTATCTTGGCTAACACTTGCCAATCATAACACTCCCCTTATCTCTGATGATCAGCTTCCACAATCTCGACTACTTCGCTAGCAATTTTCTTCGGCTTAAACTTTGGTCCAGGTAAAGGTTTCGTTAATCCATCAGCCAACATCTGATCACCCCTTATCCATCTATTTTCTAGTTAACCTTTATTTCATCGACTGTGTGGTGGTATGCCACATCCACATGTTTTATTTTCCATGTATTTGAGACCCCACCTTGAAGTTGTATACAAGCTTTATCATCCCCCAATAGGAGTGGAATTGATAAGCCCGGATTTCCTGTGATATGAGATATTAATTTGTGTCCCCTAATTGCGAGTTTCGCTCCCTCACTTGCTGCTATGTATTCTGCATTTGTAGTAGATGTTGAAACGCTAGTCTGTTTCTTACTGATTGCAGCCACTGCTCCTCCATTGAGCATCATGATGACCCCTGTAATAGATTTTCGATCACCAGGGTCTCCAGCGTAATCTGAATCGGCAACTGTGACTAGATCAGTAGATCTTGAACTCCCACAGTAAACTTTTATGTTACAATCTACCTTGTAATAAGGAGTTTCAACATCCCCACGTCCATATCTTATCCCATAGTCAATTTTACCTTCAATATAGCTTTAGATTCTAAGAAGTTATCAAACTGTGGATAGTTTGGAAGCGATCAATATAGAGTTTAAGGTGTTAGGTTTCCAAAGCTTGGAGTTACTTTTTTCGGACAAAGGTGTTTCGCTTGGGCTGTAGCAATAAGGACTCAATCTGTTCTGACTAGAGATTTTTCGTTCCAAACCATGAGAAACTCGGCTCATGGGGACAAGTTGAGGACACATAGGGCAATTGCCATTTCCTGGACGTACATAATCTAGATAGTAATAGAAAGAGAAATGGCAGCCAGGAATTAATTGACACTTTTTACTTTTACTTCATACATTATTCAATTGACTCGTAGAGTCTAACAGAAGTGCTATCCAATGGTTGTAGCAT